ATGCACGGGTTGTTCATAGTTTGTTGACACAAAGTCCAGACACGACGGAGTTGAACGTGGCGTTATTCGAGTCGGATGCGCTGCTCCACTTTCAAGTACTAAGTGCACGAACTATGTTTCGATCTCGCACTGTCCAGGCATAATTTCAGCTTTAAGCCCGCGTATCCGAGGACGATTGAAATCATCCATGAGTAGCAAACGGGGACGACATGTGGCTTCGGAGATGCGACAACCAATCCAAACAACGGCTCAGGGGACTGCGATAAATGCACCCACGAGCAGTTATCCGCGTCTGAGGTGGATCGAGCACCACAGCTGCTCACACGGACCATCACCGCTTCTATAGGCGCTCACAACTCTCCCACGCGGGGAGGACCGGATGTAGAGCAAGACGCCATCGTGAAAGTCGATAGTCTATCGTAGCGGAAGCAAGGGTAACCACATCAGAATTCAGCCACCTATCTACGAGTCCCATTATGTCTGGCCGCTCAGATGCAACAAAACGACAGAGTTCATCACGATTGTTCATAAGACTACAAGTGTTGGCAAAGGCTACATGTAGGCCGCAGCAGGAACCATCGGGGGCGTGCTTGAAGTGAGCAATCTGTTTACCCTGATTCATGGAATCTTGGAAACGACCCGAAAATTTACGATACGGAGATTCGTTTCCCCATCCCCATTTCGTCTCTTCAGTTCAATGATAGCAGACTTGAGCTCTTCTCGATCCACCCGATCTAAGTCTGGACGAACATGGACCTTTCAACATAGACCTTTCAACCTATTTAATCGGGATAAGATAAGCCTCAGACTGACTTCGTCCACAAAGTTAATTCTCATTGATCGACTTTGTTGAGCATCTTTCTTCCTACAACGGGTAGTTTGCCTCACTTTCAACCCGTCCTCCCCCACGTTGAGGATTCTGTCAATTTGGCTCTGTAAAAACTCGACGTCATGATCCTATCGGATCTGGGGAGTTGGATCACTGGACTCAGACGCGTGGAAGATCTCGAGGTCGAAACGCCTCTGGTCGGCCATATTTGGCCTTTTATGACTAAGATTTTCTCCTGCTTCACGTGGTCTGGGCTGTCGTTGATTTGCAGCGGCTGAACTCTTCATTCTTCTGCCTTTTCTTTCCTTGTACTTTCCAAGTGTCTTCAGTACACAGACCTTTACACACTGGGACATCTATGCCCGTAGAATACAACAGGTGAAATATTCGCATCAGGTGCAGCTGGGCTGCTGGTAACTGCGGGACTTCGTGCCAGTGTGTTTGCACGGGACGAGCAGAAATGCGTATCTGAAACCTGGAGACGCTTCGGGCTAGTTTGTTTTGTCAAACACACGGAGCTGCTTTCAACGGAATGATTCACCACACAAAGCGGTTGGCGATTCTGCTCTGCTTTCGACTGTATCTCGTTTCGGCACTTCTTACACAACATTTGAACATAATTATATTGGATCTTACGAAAACGACGAAATTGCTCAATCGATAGTCCAATCCATGAAATATGGACTCTGACGTGACACATAACACATGTGAGTGCATTTGCTTAACTTCCGACAACTTTGGAACATGAACCGCAAGATGATTGTGTGGACATTATGAAAAATCCGAGAGCAAGATGGAGGCCAATTGTGGATCACAAAGTGGTAGTAAGATCTCCGAAGTTAAACAGAGATAACACAGGTATTTATGGTAGAAAAGCCAGAATCAGTAATGAAACTTTATGCTATAGTAATTTCCACGAAATAATTCCAATGCATGTTGAAATCTAACAAGAAATAATTTTCTTAACACAGCCAGGAAAAATCAACCGGTGGTCGCTGATCGCGAGCGTTAACTCCCGACATAGCACCCAGCAGCCACGGACCAGTCTTGTACGTAAATCGATCACATCGCTATCCGTTACCGTTGGAGATGCTGCGTTCAGAACCGCCATTCAATTTGAAGCACAAGTGTAGACACTGACCATGCACTTCTATGTGCCGACCTGCAGTTGCGTCTCGGCGGACGCCCGCGACGATGTTGTGAGCGCATAGACACCTACCTACTGACGAAGTCAGATCCTCTGAATGCGTAACTAAGTACTTTGACATTCGGGTCGAGTAAGCGCTCATTAGTCACACGATCGTCAGACCTTATTAGCAGCAGGTATGTCTATATGTGATAAGTCAGATTGCCAATCTGGATCTTGGGTCTCTACGAAATCTCTGGATGCAAGCGAGCAGAGCGAGACTCACAAAGACCTCGGGGTTAAATTGCGCGCCAGTCTGAAGAGAGTTGGCGATGTCTGGTGGTCTAGCCGTGCATTGCATATTGAAATGGCTGATGCTCTTGATAATCATGGGGAGTTATTCCATTTTATACGGAAAACGAGTAGCAGGAGACCTGGTGTTAACGAGACTATATTAGCGACGGTAGTGGACAGACTATCCATAGCAATTCCAAGTACTTGGAACATTTGGCTAGGAGAAGGGATTTAATCAGCTGATATTACCATAATTAGTGCCGGCTAGTGATCTCTGCGCTCCCTGAGTAATCTGTTGAATCCGCCCTCTCGCGCGGAGGTCGAGTGGGAGCTCCGAGTGCCGAAATTGAATAAGGCCACGGAAGCACGTAATTTTTTTCTATCACTATTCAAATTCGAGAAAACAGCTCTTCTGGGGTGACTTACACGATTTACTACTGAGATTGCGTGAGCAGGGTACTGTCCCGACCGATCAGAGTGGTTCCCTTCTTGTTCCGATTTTCGGATAGGACTCAGATTCGGAATGCGGCAACCATAGAGGAATCATTCTGATCTGCATCACCTCTAAGTTATTTCCCTCTGTCATCCTTCACAAACTGAATGACACTCCTAATTCACAGATTCGTTAAGATCGGAATGGTTTTCATCGAAACCGAGGCTGCATTCACCTCGTCCTCACTTTGCATCTATTACTGGAGCATTGTCTCATATATTGGCGACCCACCGTAGTTGTGTTCCTCGACATCAACGGTGTCTTCGACTCATTGGATCAGTGTATCCGATGGGACTGTTTGACTCAGAAAGGTGTGTTTGACAAATACGTAAATATTATAAGGGCGTTTCTGCGCAGGTAGTTCGAGCAGTGACGGCTGATGGCAAGTTGTTGCCGTATTTCAATTTTTCCAGTAGTGTGATACAGGGATACTCGCGGCCACCTTTTATAACTTCGCTATCGTAGAACTCATGTAAACTTCGTTCACTGGAGGCCAGTGTGCAGGTGTGGAGTTGCTTCGAGGTTTTCGACGTTCTGAATTAGTTTATGCCGACAGCTCACAAACATTGTAGCAGCGCTGCGCATTTTAGCGCTAGCCTTCAGGATTTTCGACATTTATACCCCAAAATACAAAGATTTCTACGGATATTGACGAGGACCGTCCCTTGTGCTGTGGTTCATCTGGAACTCCTTCGTGATTTTAACTAACTGCCTGTGGAACGAAAGACGAACTAACAGACCTTATTACAAAGCTGATTAAAATTTTCCACTCTTCACTACTTGCGTCCTCGATGCTATATCACTCTCACCCGAATGAGTAGAGTGTACGGTGCAGTCGTTCTTTCAACGCTACCATGCAGCTGTGAAACCTGGCTCGTCAGATGAACAAACGTTCGTGCACCGCTGCCTTTGCAGGTTATCTCACATTTGGTGGGAACATCGTGTGAGCAATGTCCGCGTTCGCTACCTTATTTGGGATTTTGGGGAGTGCAAGATAGCTTTCCGGAACGTGATTTTGCACATGAAAATGCGATGGCTTGGTCATGTGTTACGCTTGCTAACTCACTGACCTGCTGCTTGCGCTATTTCCGTGACTGGGTTTGTGTATATGTGTAGGGAAGACTGACGCTCGACTCATTCAACGGTACCGAAACTTTTCGCATTATAGTCGGCCTCGTTTTAATCCTCTCGATTTCTTAATCTGATGCATAATGAACGCGTTTGGTAGGATTCTGTTGTTTACATAGTCTAGTTGTGGCGAATCCCTTTAAGAGCAATAGATCTGTTACTACCTAAAGGGGTTTTGTCCACTTGATCTACTGAAACAGTCAAGAAGAATGCTTTAGTCCCGCTTCCGTGATGTGTATATATCTCGTGCACGCTTGTCCGTTTCAGGCATTTTTGTAGGTAAGGGCGTAATTCCAGAACATCTTTCTTTTGCAACTGTCGGTGGTACTTGGAATGTTAGATCTTAGATGTAGGCCTGGCTTGTATTACCACTAGTTAATCTATGTTGTTATCCTTTTAACGTTGTATTTCTTCACAGCCCTTTCCATATGCTACCTGAACTAATTTGCCTTACAAAGCTGCCTCAGCATTACGCCGGTATTTTGTACGAACGGTTCGCCAACATGCCATCAACATCAGTTGCTTACTGGCTATGGATACTTTGGAGCAATTTGCGCCTGCACGGCTTCGAATCGGGGCATTGTGGATTGCAAGCCAGCTATCTAACCTAGTCGGCAACTGGCTGGCTGATATACATCAATACGAACACGGCCAACTAAATAACCCAACAGATTGTCCACAAATCTCTCTGAAATCATGACTTCTCGATCGGTCACAAGTATATTGCGGGAGTTCAAATATCAATATGGACATCTTATTGGACGCATACTTCATTAGCTGGCACGCGGAGCTTGGCGCTTAAATAAAAATCATAGACTCAGACCTTTTCACTCACCAGTTATCTTATATATCTCTTTGTCAGAGATCTCTTAACGTACTGATTTTGAATGCAACACACTTTCTCTTCCTTTATCCCCTGTTATACCTGATTAGGAAGGGGTGTATGTAAATCCTTAGCCCACAGTGTCAGCTCTCTGTGTCAGTTCCATAGTTATCCCTCTTCTCTTATTCGTTAGATTTTGCAAGGCTATCATTCTGTTATGGTACTTTACCCATACTTGCAACACTTCCGAATTTATCGCCTTGATGGATCTCGTTTCGTTTACTTGTGAGCAGGTATTTTGCAGCATATGGTGAGAAATACGGGGTCAGTGGCCCGCCCTGCAAGGCCAGCTCATCCCAAGGGTCGTCCAGTAGCGCTACTAAACACTTCAACTGTAGAACAGCTGGTTGCTTGCAGCTTGTCGGGACCTGCGATCGGTTCAGTGCCCCCGGCTTCCGTTTCTCCTATTTCTGGTGCCGATGCCGAGGATCATCAAACTACTTGCAGTTCCACTGATGCGGAGTTGCTAACCAACTTGGCACAAGCTGCCGTCCAACCTGTTAACCTTTCTGCGGTACTTGAGCCCGATTCTTCGTGTAACGAAGGCTACTATGTGGCAAAACAGAACCTAGAATCTGCAGACCAATTGGAACCCGCCCCCATACAGCGTGGCAAACTGTATGCCACTTTTCGAAAGGTGCGCTATATATTGTTTATTCCATCACAACTTCTCTAATTCTGTATTTTCAGCCGCACATAGTGTGTTCGTGCTAAAATTTTGAATTGCGATGTACCTTTCTCCTGCTTCGGAATAACTACATATTGTCGCACTCAGAACGAGTTTCTGGAATGTCCATTTGTGATCTTTCAGATACCTGTTGATTATCCGATAACTGATGTTAACTGATGTGAACATCCTTCGTGCTGTATACTCGAACACTACAGGCCGCGTCAGGGTCTACGGTGTCTTATCGGATAGCTTTCCGACTACAAGTGGCGTTCGTCAGGGTTGTCCGATTTCCCCATTTTTGTTCAATTTCGTCGTGGATTCTATCATAGAGTGTTCCCTTGCAGAATCTCACGATGTAGGCGTTAAAGTGCTGCCTGGTGAAAGGTTAGTTGATCTAGATTATGCGGACGATATCGTCTTGCTTTTCGACGATGTTGGGGCGGCTCAATCAACCCTAAATAGCCTGTCCAGAGTGGTCCCATTATTTGGTATGCACTTCGCACCTTCAAAGTGCAAAGTGTTGCTGCAGGACCACCAGCCACTTGATGACCCCTTGAGCATTGCTAACGAGGAACTCGAGGTGGTTGACCATTTCACTTATCTTGGCAGCTGCATCAGCAATGATGGGCGCATAGAAACTGACGTGAGCTCACCCATTGCTAAATCCAGAGCTGCCTTCTTGAATCTGCGGCATCTTTGGCGACAGAAGGGAGTTTCCCTCCGTCTAAAAGGTCGGGTATACAAGGCCACAGTGAGGGCCGTTCTGCTGTATGGTAGTGAGACTTGGCCCCTTCGGTCTGAAGATCTGAGGCGCCTTCAAGTCTTTGATCATGATTGTCTGCGAAGCATTTCTGGTGCCGGATGGCACCAGCGTGTCCGCAACGATGATGTGCGTAAGCGAGTACTAGGTGGTGATAATCATGCTAGCTCCCTAGAACAACAGATAGCATTGAATAAGTTGCGTTGGCTCGGGCACGTGCTGCGCATGCCTGGTCACCGCTTACCTAGGAGGGTCTTGTTCAGTCTGCCAGGTGTAGGATGGCGCAAAGCTCAAGGTGAACAAAAGTTGACTTGGCAGCGGGAAGTGTAGTCACTGACGACCAAACTGGGTGCCGTTGGTCCGTCTCGCCTTCTGGACTGGAGTCCACGTGACTACCCTTGTGCTTGGCTCGAGACTTTACAAGACATGGCTCGCAGTAGACACCGGTGGCGTGTCTGCTGCCGTATCCTAATCGGGCTGCTTGTTTAACTTGAGTTTGGTGCTGAGTTATCTGCGGGGTAATGGCTGAGTATGATGCGGGGCAATGAAAGCCTCAAGGAAGCTGTCTCGCTGATGCTGCCTTATGTTTGCACGATAGCCAGCTATTTGTGACGGTATGATGTCTATGTCCCGGATCTTAGCAAGGAGAATGGCGAAACTTAACTCCCACCCAGCGGTCGCCACGTGTAGGCATGCAGGACATGAGCCAATGGCGCAATAGTAGCAGCAGCGGGTAGATCATCTGTCAGGATCTAGCCACCACCAGCCTCAGAGCACCATAGACTCTCCCGATATATATATATATATATATATATATATATATATATATATATATATATATATATATATATATATATATATATATATATGGTTGGCGCCATCCGGTTTCGGATTTGCCTGTCACTGTGGCAAGCCATAGGACGCCTGCGCCTGCAGATGGACCGCGGGTGGCTTGCGCTGCACCACCCACAGCTCCAACAACACACCCCATATCCAGTGTAAACCCGAAGGAATAAGACCGGGAGGCATGTGGATCGGAGCCACGTTTCATCAACGGAGCCGGCCCACACTCCTTCACAGGCAAACACAAGGACGCTGTATTTGGGAAATCAAGCTGACACCAGGCGGTGGCTGGACCGTAGTCCGCTCCACACTGAGTGTATGGAACCACTCTTTAATCATAACACAGCCACAAGCACTGTACACCCCGTCCCCTCCAGCAACGGCCAACTATCTCCTAGAGACAGTATGGACGAGGTAGTGGGTAATAAACAGTTAGGCACCTTGTCAACATGCACATCAAGCGCAGCCACACCGGGGATATCAAGCAACAGCCAATCACTTGAGAGAGAGACACACCCACGAAGATAACTCGATTAATGCATAAGGAAACGGTGACATCA